TGCTTCTCCCATTAGCTGAGAGTGAGGAGTAGGACCTCTGTATTTCTTAGGCAGGGAGTAGGAACATTTCCAAGTGTGATATGGAGCTGCCATCCATGGGGATGGAGCACCCATCTGTGCTGAGAAGGGATGGGGCAGGACTCGTGGGGTTGGATGTAGGATGCTGCACCTTGGGCTGGTTCCAGGCACGGTGCTTGCAAAGGCAAAACCTAAACTCTGGTGGGAGACTGTCCCATATTCTATACATGGAAACATTCCCCACTGGCACACTGCTCTGCAGGAGGAGTGGCACTGCATGGCAGTGCATCCTGGCCTGGACCTTTGCCTTTGGTCCCTAAGCATGTGAACTTGTGACAGGTTTCTTTTGAATTTTAGAACCTTTGGTTCATCTCCCATAGCACTGAAGTCCCTTGTCTGGTTCAACAATTCTCCCAAGATTCTCACCAGCACATTTTCTTAGGGAATTTCCATGTTCTGAATCAAGATCACTAATGAAAGCTATTAAACAAAAATGTGTCTTCAGTCTGATCTTTAAGTAATTTTACTAATAGCCATGAGTGCATTAGCTTCTCCTACTGCAGCACATTACGATCTTCCCCATCAGCTCGTCCCTTAACCTTACAGTTCCTGCAGTAATTCCTGCATGAATGGATGTTTTCTGTTCTGTGGAAGCCCGTGGACATTTGATCGTTTGGTTCCCATCATCTAAAATGCTGATTATCTTCTCTAGGGTTGGGGCTGTGGTTTGTCTATGGGAAATTCTCATTCACTCTCCCTTCTTCTTCCTCATCCCTCGCCTATTGGCATAATTTCTTCTGGCACTGCACGTTTGGGCACTTTGAACACTCTTGCATGGAGGGGATGGGATGTTGCACCTGGTTCTGCAGTGCCAGTAACGTTTGCTGCTCTTCATTAGTGTATTCCCTCTTCTGGCTTCATAGGTTTGTGGCAAATTTATTAAAAGCAGAGGGACAGGAGAGAACACTTGGCGTGTGCCTGGACATGGCAGTGGGTTCAGGGAGCATTTCCAGGTCCCCGGATCTGAGAAATCTCCCTCTCCTGCATTAGAATGGAGCAAGGTGCTGGGACACGTCACTTATGGGCAAAGCTGATTTCCTGACCTCGTAGAGCTCACAGCAAGGTGTCACGGCTTTTTCCAAAACTGTGCTCAAGTGTTTAATCAAGAGATTAAACGCATGGGTTCACCAAGAGGTGCCTGTGACAGCACAGTGCAGCAGGGAGGGGATTTCTGCTGCCCCTGAAGAGGATGTTTGAGGTTTGGTGGTGGGGAGCAGGCAGGGCTTGGAGGGCACGGGGACCCCAGCAAAAGGCTGTTCCCATCTGGTGCTGTCAGCGTGCCTCGCTGATGACGTACAGCAGCAGTTGCTTCCTGTGGGGTAAGCAGAGGGGCTGGGAGGCAGGAGCTGATCCCATCAGGGCTGCCAGCCCTGGGAGAGCAGGGGCTCCGTGTATAGAAGTGTTCAAGGGAACCCTGAATGCAGACAGCCCAAAGAGTGATCCAGAAATGGGCAGAGAGCCTCCAGCATTTCAAAAGTTTGCTCTTCAGTGACTGCATGAGAGGTGAAACTGAAAATAGAAGCTGGTGGACATGATTTTTAGCTGCAGAAGTCAGAGCAGAGAAACTTGGATTCAGCTTTCTACCCAAAGCCCACAGCTGGGTTGGGGCACAGCATCCCTCTGGTCCTGGGGGCAACATCCCCTCCTGTGCCCGGGTATCAGCCCAGGGGAGCAGAGCAGCTGGGCCAGGGTTGGTATGCTCGGAGGAAGGGCTCAGGCAGCTCGGGGAAAAATGTTTACTTAGGAGCAAACCTCGTGGGGATGCTGCTGGGGAGAGGCGAGCGTGAGTGCCAAGGCAGGGCAGTGCTGCTGCCCCGTGCCACCTCTCTGACCCTGCTGTTCCCCCTCTGTCCGCTCCCACCAGCAGAAGCCCCCTGGCTGCCCTGCATTCCGGGCAGGGCGTGACAAACAGCACAGAACGTAGAACGCAGAGCGGGGCGCGCTCCCACCCACCGACCCCTCTGAGCTCTCGCTTAGAAATGCCTTCAGCAGTGGAAAAACCAAGAGGAATAAAAAAGGCAAAAGCTTTACCTGGGAGCGGCGTTCTGTAGCCCTGCAGCAGGTGGGAGCGCCGATCACCGCGCGCCGGAGCAACTCACGCGCGAGCGGCGGCCGCCAGCTCCCTCCCTCCTCCTTGCCCAGCAATATCCAGGCAGCTCGCTGACTGCGCCGTGAGTCACAGCGCCGGTGGGTGGGATCAGAGCCCTGAACTCAGACTCCGAGGTTACTATCCAGTCCAAGCCGAAATGCAAGGCTGCCCTGAACCGCGTGTGAGCTCTGCCGGAAGCATCCTCTGCACGTGCGGTGTCGCAGGGAGCCAAGCCAAGTGACGAACAGCACGGGTGGCTCTCTGTGCTTCTGGTGTCTTTCATTTGTGGGTTTCCACGAATGCTAACTGCTGGGCCAGCTGTGTCGGGAGCTGCTCCCCCTTTCTGCTCTCCCTCTCGTGCTGGGCTGAGAGCTCCGTGCTGCTGGAGAAAGTAATGCTGACCATTTCCATGCCTCTCCAGCTGGCAACCAAGGGACTGATGTGTCACGCTGCTCACCATGTGCACCCTGGGTTCCCCATGCTGGATGGAGTTGGGTTGCAATCCTCACCTCCATCCCAGCCAAGCAGAGACCTCAGCAGCCCTGGTGCACAAAGCAGAATGGCCTTGGTGTGTTCGTCTCCACAGACCCAAAACCAGCTCTGTGTTTCACAGCCTGGGGGTCTGCCGGAACTTCAGAATGTTACTGCTGGGCAGCAGCAAGGTGGTGTGCAGGGTGGGAATGCTCTGCAAAACAAGGCTCAAATCTGCTCAGGAATGTTCACCAGCTGAAATCACTGGGGTGTTGACTCCTTCTTCCCCTCGACTCTGCTCAAATAGGGATCTTTTGGTCTAGAATCTGTCTTAGGATGAGAGGTGCCCTGTAGGAATATGGAACTCTGATTATGGGGGCAGAACCCCCAACCAGTCGCATTGCCCTAATCTCTTCCAATGTAACATTCTTGCTGCCTGGGGGCAAGAAAACCCCACAGGCTCAGAGCTGAGCAAGCTCCATCTTCCCTTGGAGAGCTCATAGGAATCAGAGCTCTGTGAGGATCCAGCAGCCCCACGGGCAGGGACATGGCAGCTGGTGGCTGAGCCACTGCTGTATCACAGCTGGCACCAGGGCTTGCCAGAGAAACTCATGGACTGGGATATTCCCCACATGGGCCTCCCCTGCGTCTCTAATGAGCATTTTATTAAAGGCCAAGGCAATGCTGGGAACTGTGTGTTGGGAAATTGCAAGTGAAGTCAGGGAAAATTTGGGACTCCAGGAATAGAAGCGTGAGGTTTGGCAAACGCGGGGGTTTTGGGAAGCTCTGATGCGAAGCTGTGCCTGAGGACTAATAGGGCAGCATGGGGCCAGGGGTCCTGCTGGGCTCCAGCCATGGCTGGGTAGGCCAGCACAGTGCAAATGGGACTTGTGCAGATGGGCTGCTTGCTCTATGGATGGGAGAGACTGATGGCTCACTTTGATCATCAGGACGCACAGCACAGCTAAAAGATGAGGATCTCCCAGATGTGTTCAAGTGGTTATATACATTGGAGTGCCACTAGTGCTTGCTGTTCCAGGAATACCTTTGTCCTCAGGCACCTCTGCAATACCAAGACCAGGGAAGAAAATGTTGCTCGAGCCTTTTCCGCCCTCCCGGATGCCGCAGTGCCGATCCCAGTCACACCCAGCAGGATCCCATCTGCTGTGCTGCAGTGTCAGACTGAAGGCACAGCCTGTGACGTATTCCTGTATGTTCTCATAGTGCAGGGAGAGGATGTTAGAGGTTTATTTCCAGTTTGCTGATCCTAAGCTGTCCAGGCTCTGATGAGGACTGAAGGGTGCTGGATTGCTGATATTAAGCATCCTGCAGCTGTCTAAGGGCTACATGTTTCATGTTGATTGAGGCAAACCCTCAACCCACCCTAGTGCAGCTGTCCGTAGATGACACCTGGGGCAGGCACCTATTGGGACGGCAAAGCCAGCTGTGACCCTGGTGGAGGCTGCAGAGCTCCATGGATGAGGAAGAGGCCTGGGGAATGTGACCTCAGAGGAAAGCCTGTAGGGTTCTGCAGGAGCAGGCACTGTATCCTATGTTTCTTTCTAGTTTTGCAAGCGTGAAGTAGGGCAGGAACCTCCCTATCCCTGAGAGGAGAAGCAGCCAAGGGCTTAGTCTGCAGAAATGAAGATTAATTTAAATTTACTCATGGTGAGAGTCACATGCTGCAAGGAATTTCTTAAGGAAATTAAGGGGTCAGACTCAGTCCCAAAGGCAGTCTGAAGCTCAGCACCTGGCATTGCCTGCACACAGCCCCTGTGCAGCCACAGTTGTGAGAACAGCTTGGGGTGAGGGTCCCACTGCCTGGATGGGGTCACTAAAGGGGGGCTGAGGGGCAGCTCTGGGGACACTGCCATGACAGCACCAGGTAGATGGGTTGGGGCCATTGCACTACGCAGGAAGGGCACAACGAAGGCTCGCAGGAAGCACATATCCAAATATATATATTTTTCTCTTACACAGCCTGGAATGAGGCCAAAAACCTAGGGCTGGAATCTCTCTCCAGACAATTAATTATTGTGGAGAGACAATTTGTTAAGCAAGAGAGGCTTTTAATTTGCAAGAGCTCATCTATTCTTATTGTATCTTTTAAGCTGAAGGAAGCGGAGTTGATCAAAATAGGCTGGGAATAGAAGATTTTAATTTAGAGGCTATGTTCAATGTGCTGACAAAAATAAGAAACGGCGTTCTCAGAAGAGCATGCTCCCCCCAAAACCCGGCTGGAGCCTGCAGGGAGTGCTCAGGAACAATTCAGATCATTAGGAATATGCTTGAAAAATCTTTTAGCGAAACACAGCTGGACTTGCTCAGAAAAGGACGATCCTCGGATCTGTGGGGTGAGCCCTCATCTTTCCTTTGCACAGCACTGAGCTACAGCGCAAAGTACGTGGCAGCTCTGTAATGTGAGGTGGTGGTGAAGGAGGGTGGGATGGGTTGTGGGTGCCCCATCCCTGGAGGTGCCCAATGCTATGGATGGGCCCTGGGCAGCCTGAAGTGGCTGCCAGCCCACGGCAGAAGCTGGATCTGGGGGGGCTTTGAGGTCCCTTCAACCTTATCATGATTTCGAGAGAGATGCAAAGCCATCTGCCCGGTCTCCTTGCACTTGTTCATTGAAAGCAGCTATATTTAGAAACCTTTGTGAAGTTGTACAGTGGAGCTTTTCAAAGGAATGTTTTTTTTCTTCTTCTTTTTTTTTTTTTCTTTGAAACAACTTATTTAGAAATGTATGCTTGTTATGTGTGCAGTAGATTAGGCTGGGAATGGAAGCAATAACCTTTCCTGCCATGGTTCTGAATGCATCACCTACAAACATCCCAACTCATTTTCCCAATTCAATGGGAGTTTTGGTAACTCCATGCGCAGAAGTCATTTCTTGTCTAGTTTAAGTGCCGCATGAAATAGCCACTAACTGGAAATGAGATGCTGCTTTGTCTCTCCAAAATGAGCATTGTGCCTCAGGCTGCGGGTCCGTGGGAAGGAGCCTTGCTGCAGAAGTTGCACAGCGGCTGGAGGAGAGGAGCCAGCCCCCAGGCAGTTCAATTGGAAACAGAATCAACTGTGAAAAGAATAATAATCTGTAATGAAGTGAAGGCAAAAGGGAAAGAGGGTAGAAATTGAATTAGGTTTGTGCTGGTTCCAGCAGTCCCCTGTGGCCCCTTCCTGGCTGGAGGGAAACTGGGCTGATGGGGCCGTTCCTGTTGGGGTGCAGGAGGGGGAGAAATTCAAGGGTAAATCGCTGCAGATCAGCAGAGCACCACTGGGCTGTGCAGCAGGAGCCCATGTGCAAGCAGCTGGGGCTGTGAGCTGCTGGGGGGGACCGTTCTGTCGCAGATGAGGCATGTCGCAGGCGCGAATTTCTGCTTAGCAGAGATAAGGATTTTCCTAGAAATATTGAGAAACCAGATGGCAGCTCAAAAACTGCAGTTCTGGGAAGGAGAGGGTAGCACTCACACGTATGACAAAGGCATCATTCGTGACAACCTGCCCCACACCATGACTCATGGCCGGAGCTCGCTGCCCCCTGACTCCTGGTGGCAGAGGATGTGATGCTTCCTACTTCCACCTCTTGTCTTCTCATGCTCTCTGCACACCCACAGGACATTAGAAATAATGTGCTTTTGTTTTGGATTGAGTTAAGCCTAGCTTTAATCCACGCCCCATCCTTCCTGTACAGCAGCTCCATTTTTTCTTTCCTTCTTTTCCTCTGATGTGTAAGGCTAAAACTTCTCTTGCTGTTTTTCTTCGCATCCTCTGCAAGAGCCAATTCAGCCTGACATCTGCCAGTTCTCCCTTTATGCTTTGGGCGTTTCAAGACATGGGGGTAGGCTGCCCTTCTTCCTTTGCAGCATGATCTCTTTACCCTCTTCCTTATCAGCTCTCTCCATCTTTTCATGTAGCTATTTCCTTAGCCAGCACAAAAGCCTTTCCAGGGCTTGAAATACATGTCTCAAAGATTGGGCATGTCCACTTTTGAGAACTGAATGGGAATGGAAAGCACTGCCATTGAACCAACCTGATGTGCTGGTTTCACAATAACAAGGTCACATATCCCACTAGTTTCATGGTGTTGCTGCTCCCTTTTTTATTTGTTTTAAGGGCTGCTGTGAAAGCAATACCTCCTATTTTACTATATTAGCCCATGATATCAAAGGCAGAGATGTTGGTGGGATGGCAGTGGAGGCTGAACCTTCCTACCAATGTGCCACTGCATGTTGTTGCCATGTGACAGGTGGCAGCAAGGGGCAGTCTGACACCATGGCATCTGACATGGATGTACAGATGAAACAAAGATGGGTAAATGAATTCCTCAGTGAGAAAAAAAATGGCACCCATTGACATTCGTTTCTGAACATCTATGGAGACCAAACAATGGATGTAGTGCAGTGAGGCTGTGGGTACATTTCAGCAGTGGGGACAGTGACAGTGGGTGCAGGTTGATAGGAATGTGGCTCTTGTTTATCACTGGTGAAAATGCATCACTAATGGTAGTATCTGTGTTGAAAAAGAGTGTTTTGTAGCTGAGAATTTGCTCTAGTAAGTAGTGCCACCATGCATTTGTAATTTCCATGGAAACAATTAGGAGGCATTATTTTGGGAGGAACCTACATAGATGTGGACCTAGGCAATTCCTCTTCACTCAGTGCAGCCCAGTCAAACCAAAATGTTGGATGCCCAAAGGTGCCTAAAGGAGCTCTGTGTGCATGCTCCAGAGCTGCTGCCCAGCTTAGTAACAAGTTCCCCAAGCACAGCGCTGCATAGGGGCTGTGCAGAACCACAAGGGCAGCAGCAGCACTGCAGGGAAGAAAGCTCCCAAGGATCCGGATGGGAGCTGCTCCCAGTGGTCTATTTTTGTCCTGTTTTCTTCTTATTCTGGGGAGCCACCATTACAGAGTGATGTTCAGCCACTGTCCTGCTCTGCTCCCTCTGTGAGCTTTGTCCTGCTGTTACACAGAAGGGGGACATGGAAGGAAGCACCACCTGCCCCTCCTCTTGCTGCCTGGTTTCCAAGCAGGGCAAGCAGCATGAAAATCAACCATGGCCATGCTGGAGGGCAAGGAGAGAGCATGGGAGCTGTGTGGGATTTGGGGCATGTGGATCCCAGAAGAATCGTTAAAGAAGGAATGGTAACACAAGGCTAAGGGCAGCGGGAGAGCATTGTTTTCTTTGGCCACATGTAAAACAGCAAAAGAAAAAGGAAGAAAAAGGAAGAAGAAAAAGCAAGGCCAAAGCCCAAAGATTCTGTTCAAACACTAGCAGAGTTTTGGACAGCCCAGCTCTGGGATTTGGAACTGTTTCCTACCCAGTTCATTACTGAGTTGCTAATTAGTGAGGACAGTTTCCTGTTAATACCCAGAGAGAACAAGGTCCCCTCTAAAAGCCCAAAAGCTGGGCTGGAAGTGTGGCTGGGAGCAGCAGTGAGACTGCAGCATCCTGTTCTGCAGTGACATCCATGGGTCCCGCTGCGGGAGGAAACATTCATCCTCTGTCCTCCAGCAGCATTGTGCTGAGGGGCTGAGGGCCCCCATCACCCAGAGGAACAGCAGGCTGAGGGGCAGTGCCTCAGTTCCTATGCAGCCCTCCTTCCTAGCCCAGCTGCCACAGATAGATGTAATGGCTGCCACCACGATGCGATGACCTCCCGCTGCTCTTGCTCTGCAGGGAGGACTGATGTCCTTTGGCAGCTCCAGGGCTGCAGCCTGAGCCCAGCCCTGATGCTGAGGGTGCTCTGATGGTGCAGGAATGCTAGAGCAGACATCACTGGAGCGCCGCGGGGTGGGAGATGTGCTCCATCTGCTCAGGATTAGGAGAAACATCCACATACCCAGCAAACAGAAGTCCTTCACTTTGCTGCCAACACAACTTGTTTTTCCAAGGCATAACTGTTGCCAGAAATCTACCGAGTCAGGACCTGGCACTTCTCTACTTCTAAAGAAAACTCACCCCAGTTTGCTTTACCTCTGGTGAGAAGAGCTCTTGTCTCCAAGAATAAAATCAGAAAGAGAGCAACCTCTGTTTTCCACTCATTTAGTAAGTGATAAGTGGGGGGATCACCTTGCAGGGGCTGGCAGCCTGGCTGTGCTGCATGTGGAAATCTCATCCATGCTCACCGGGTGTTTTAAGCATCTTTCCAACGTGATGATCCTTTCCTGGTGCCTTAGGCACTGCAAGCAGAATGATGAGATCACCACCACCGGCTCAGCAGCATTCTCATGTGGAAAATTCCCAGGTAATTTACCCAGAGTGGGATCCTCTGATTTGCTGACATTCTTCATAAACAGAGGCAGACATGAAAGGAATGAAAGCAGAGGCGCTAATTTGGAAACTCATTTTGCCTAACTGCTCACAGACGTGGTAACGGTCAGCAGGGAGCCTCAGTGATAAATAATGGTTGTTGAATTCCTGAATTGGCTGTAAATTGGCATGAAGGATGGCATCCCCTGCACGAGGCACAGCTCAGAGAGTTACTCTGCACTACATCCTCTCCAGGTGAATGCAGAGGTAGCTCAGGCTCTGCGTACACTCAGGAGAGTGGCAGCAGCTTCTCCTCCCATGGGTACAGGCCGTGATTTATAAAAGATGCTTGTTTATTTTGAAATGTCTCTTCTGTATGATAAATACCTTGGAAATGTCGCCCTGTAAGTGACTCCGCAGAGATTGGCCCCATTGGAGCCTTTGGCTGCAGCTTTTGGCTGCACATCCTTTGAAAGGCTATTTAAGAAACATGTCATGTTAGGCAAACTGTTTGCAGGCTGAAGCCATCCAACAGCAATGAGCGATGAGTGCTTCATGCACCAGAAGATGTAAATCTTCCCTTAATCCTGCCTGCCCTGTGGCCAGCTTGTTCCCAGCCACTCCAGGTTCAGTGCTGTGTCCCCTGAGCACATATCATCCCAACTGCTGGGCAGCAGTCACTGCTCTGTGTGCATGGAGAAGTGCAGGTGGGCAATGGGCGGCTGTGGGACCCACACTGAGCATCACAGCATGGATTCCTCCATAGCACTGGGAACAAAACTCCATCCTGTCTGCAGCCTCTGGCTCTCAGAAAACTGAAGGTAGTGTGAAGCCATCAGCTGAAAATAAGTCAATGACCCAAAAGCTGCAACTGAGGACACAGCCCATAACTACAGATGTTCTGACTGCAGGGTCTGCTTCCTCTCCCATGCTCCCCCCATCTAGGACTGATTTCTATAAACTCAAACTCAGGGATGGCCACAAGAGCAGTAATTGTAGCCAACGTGACTTTTCTAAGCCTGTCCCTTCCTTCAGCTTAGGCTGTAGCACAGCTTTACAAGCCAGAAGGCTGATGTCAGGATTGCTTCATTCAGCAATGTTGGGAACGGCTAATAAACACTACTAAAAGCTTGCTAATAGCTTTAATTAGG